TAGGTCATTGTATTACCTGAGTGTGGTAGGTCACTGCATTAGTGTCCAAAAGGCCATGGGATCGAATCTTGGGGCCAGCAGGTCCACCATACCAATCTTGGGTCTTTGAACAAGACTGCAGACCTGCTTCAGATCCTGATTCTGCTCTCTGGCCTCAAGTTTTTATCACCTTTGTTGCTTTGGACAACAGCATAAGGTAAATAAATTACCTCAACAGACTGTGCTATGGGGTGTTGATTATATTGGAAGACATTGTTATGACCCCAGGAGTCATTTGCTCTGCTTACAGGGTAGATGTTTCTGTGGTATTCATTCTAAGGAAACTTTTTTTCTTTAGGTGTGCCTGATCTTTGTCCCGCCCACTTTTACATATCATACCTCTCCATTCCGATAGGCTGATTTATTTTTTCATCATTTCCCTTGTAAGTCGTCCAGACAATGAACAGAAGGCCATTATTTTGAATTTGTTGTACTTGGCCCTTGTTGCTTTTTGGCACTTGAATTTTGATTAGTACTTTTTTTGGATTTGTTGGCTTTTGAATCTACTTTGTAAATAGCCTGTAAATATTTGCAAATATTGAGTCCACTATGAGTAGCTGGGGAAGTATGGAGTGCGACACCATTTTGTTTTGATTTGTTTTCTCACTGTTTTGACTAGTTAGGGAAATATGTCAATTTTGTGTGTCTTTATTTTCATTTTGTTTAGATTAGGTGAAGGACTACTTGCACTTTCTTTATAGTTAGATGTGTTGTTGTTTGTTATTTTGCGTGGTCATATTCTGAAGTTGTTCCCACTGCTAAGAAATTACTGGGACATACAAAGTAATAGTCTGAATCCACATTTTGCTGAGACATAATTGAGGTTGCTGCCTGTCTCAACTTGTTGGGGTCTGTCAATTCAGTATCCATTTCAAGAGGTTGTCCCAGGTCTAGGAGTCTGCTGGTGATCAGTCCATAAGTGATTACGGCACTTAATGTTGAGCATGTGACCTCTACAGATGGTAGCCTTACAATTGACAATTATTGCTGTCATTTTTGGAGTTTATTTGTAAATGTGATATTTCTCGACAAAACGTAATTTTATTCCCTGGAATTACTTTACCTAATTACCAGAATATTGCGTACTAGCCTCATTCTTGTGTTTCAGACGAATTGTGTTGTATATAACTGCCATCTATTGGCGGCACTTAAATCAACCAGTTAAGCGTCCCTTTAACACTAGCTTCTAATTCTGAATTCTAAGTCACCATAATTAAGCGTCTCAAAGTGTTCCAACACTTTTACAAGTGCCACTGGATATGTGTAAATAAAACATCTACTAACTAACTAATGATGCTGACCTTAAATTCATCCCCTCTCTACGTACCTGAATGCATGTAGGCCTAATCTTGAAGCGTTACAATGGCCACTAGATGGCAGAATATGTCTAATTTTGGGGTGTCTTCCTGCCCAAATGCCGCTGGTTATATGTTTAAACTAATCATTACGTGTTATGTCAATATGAAAATTCGGTGTATCATATGCATATGAATAATAATATGGTAATTGGATACTTTGGGATTTTATCTGTATAATTTCGTGATCGACGAACCCCTAGAGATGATGCTCCCGGCACTGCAATTGAGGCTGAAGGTGCGTCCCAAAACCATAATTCCTTTACTTAACTGATAGTTCGGACCCTAAGGGTCAACCTCAAAATGCATTCATAATGACTGCAAAATGTGTATTATGATCTGATTTAACTGATAGCGCGATTCAATGCCAGACTGCACCGTACGTGAAGTTCACACAACAGGAGATATCATTACAGTTTCAATATAGGGCAACATAAGTATATGTTTGATGTTTTTGAGTTTATTATGTGCCTCAAAGGAATGTTGCCATGGTCCATGCATATGTAATTTCACAAAGTTTTGTCTTGCAACAGAAATGCGGCGCATTACTGACCCGGATGCTGCTAGAAAGCATCCCTTTAAATAACTGATCAAAAGAGCGCGAGGCTTGTGACGCTTACTCTGTTTTTAAGGCATCATGTAAATATTTATGTTTACGTGTTGGATGTATATACATATTTAAGTTATGTTAACACAATATTTGTCCGCCATTTTATTTTAGTAGTTATAAGAATGAATTTACTTGCCAATTTATGGAAATTAGCTAAACAGTATATGAATTTCTTTTATGATCTGTTGCCTTTGACATATGCAGTTTTATGCAATAAAAAGTCATTTGAACGTCCCGATTGTCGTCGCTTTGCTTGTTAAACTTACAAAGCACCTTGGTGCGTGCTGAGTACCGGATCGTGTACCGCACAGCTCAATCTGTCAAAGCAATACGTTTTACATATATGCACTTATACACGTACAGCTAATAAACTCGAGCTTACGAGCAATGATGCGGAGGCTTGCTGTGATTTATGCCACATCTTGAAAAGATGTTTACCTTTAAATTAATCGTGTTTCCAAGCGAGGTCTATAAGGAGCAGTTATTCTATAGAGACACGCTTGCCAGTTATTTTCTTCACCCCGGCAGTAACCTGGATACCAGAGAGAAAGTCCTTGGTATTTTAGATTTTAAAAGCTCAGAAGAGAAGGGGTGTGGGGGGGAGAGTGAGAGACATAGATAATTTGAAGTCTTGCCAGGGGTACATTGTCAAACTCAAAAGACATTTCAAAGAACCAAACCATTCACTTTTTTCTTCTCTCCCCATTTTCTTTCTTTCTTTCTCCTTTTCTTTCGCCCGGTTGCAGACCATTTGAATCAGCCAATGGGCTTTCAAGCTAGGTATATTGGAATGTAAATGAGTAGCGCGCGTGCTCCTGGTGCCGTGAAAGCGCTGGATTGTTTATTGAGCTCCCAGAGCCACGCGCCTGGCTCGCGAAGCCGGTGCGCAGAAGAATCACACAGCGGGGCGGGGCCTTCCAGGGAAGCGTGCATCTCCGAAGGGGTGGGGTGTAGGACGCGTGTTGAAAAAGAGGAGTACTGCCAAAGTTTGCAGCAGATCAGCTAGTGGAGTAGGTGCTGTTAAGGTTTGGATCCAAGTCCTCAGTGCGCTCGAGCCACACGCCCCACGCGAAGGACACGAGAGCAGTGCACTGCCAGCTCTCCCGTTTGTTTTCACTGTGTGTGAGGGTCGCGCAGCCCTTGTCTACAAGTCACCCCATCGCGCTCCAGACAGAGATGGAAAGCGGCACAATAACAGCGACGCAAATTACGCAAGGTGCATTTGCATTCGCCCTGCAAAGTTCGACGCAGGAGTGCGGTAACCCCAACGCAGCCAACAACCAAAGCAAGAGCAAAGTGCTGAAAAGACAGCGCTCGAGTTCCCCGGAGCTCCTGAGGTGCAAGAGGAGACTCAGCTTCAACGGGCTGGGCTACACTATTCCACAGCAGCAGCCGGTGGCCGTGGCCAGACGAAACGAACGGGAGAGGAACCGGGTCAAACAGGTCAACATGGGCTTCCAGACGCTGCGCCAGCATGTTCCCAACGGGGCAGCAAACAAGAAAATGAGCAAGGTGGAAACGTTGCGCTCCGCTGTCGAGTACATTCGGGCTCTGCAGCAGCTGCTAGACGAGCACGACGCGGTGTCTGCAGCCTTCCAGTGCGGGGTGCCATCCCCTACCCTTTCCAACAGCTACTCTGCGGACCCTGAGTCGCCGCACTCCACCTACTCTTCAGACGAAGGGAGCTACGAGCATCTGAGCTCGGAGGAGCAAGAGCTGCTGGACTTCACCACCTGGTTCGACCGATATTGATGAGGTGTGGTGTTAGTTCTATAAGCTATATCCCGCTACCTTTGCAATCTTGAAATACGTACGATATTTTTTTTACAGTTTTGTTTATTGTCAATCTGCATTTAAAACATGCACCCGAGCATGCATTTGATTCATTAGATATGCTAAACATCTTGGCAAAGGTCCTAAATCTCTGCTCTTTTCTCCAGCTATTGCAGGTGCAATCGGTACCTTAAAGGATCCCACTGATGGATCTGCAGTCGCCGTTGCCACGCTACGGGAGAAGGCATTACAACTGTCTCTCTGTGCCTCTCTGAACATCAGAGGCGACTGCCAGGTCGTCCGGCCTAAGGGCACAGCGCAGAGGGACAAGGAGGATGTCACAGCAAAACCTATGGAGATAATATTATTGTCAAACTAAGTGCAATTAATTTTATTTAGTTGGAACCGTATGGATTAGTCAGTCTTCACAATGATGAAAATGCGGTAGGCTGGTGGAAGAGAGCTGTACTCGATACCCGTATGACTGCCCTGCTGTGAAACACTAAAGACTTAAGATCAACTTTAGATAAGTAGTCAGCTGTTCTGGGGATTCAACGATCCATTTGATTTTCAAATTTCTGTTTGTCATTTTATGTACATTTACGTTTTTTTTTTTTTGTATTATTGAGCAGTTTGAATTAAATGAAGACTTATTTTTGTAAACAAACGAACAAATGTATCAGAAACGTAACACTGCCACCTTTAAGTGTGAGTGCGTTTGAGATTTCGGGAAATGCTGAAGAGAAACGTTTTTCTTCATAGATAGATCTAAAAACACTGTTCGAATCGCTGGATTTTTATTATTATTATTTTTGTATAGTATGTTTGAACTGAATTGCTATGGCAGTAATACTGACGCTTGTTAGACTGATTGAAGGCTTTTACGCTGTATGGAGGACTTCAAATGTATGCACTTCTGTTCCCCGTTTTTCATACTAAATGTATATATGCAATTTTTAACAGAATTATCATATTTTATGTAAACAAGCTTTATAAATAAAGAATACTCTATTTATACTAAATATTAGCCTATATAGTGTGATATTTGTAATACATCCCCACCCAAACAACACATCCACCAACAGGCTTAAGAAAACCTGATGCTGGTGTAGTGGCGGGTGGTGGGATCCCCGCAGGACCTGACAGGACTTGGATACGTTATTTCCGTCAACTTAGGGATCAGGTGTAAGGTTTACCAGTCACTGCTCACTTCCACCCAGTAGCCTGTTGTAAAGCTCATGCGTGTTTCATACAACTGGGCAGTCCAACGATCTTGAAAGTACCATAACAAATACAGCTGTGGCTTCACGATGTTCGTTGTGGCATATGTGCTGGAAACGTTTTAAAAAGACGAGAACTACTCATGTTTTAATACATTCAAGAAAACATGGCGCGCGCAGCTGTGCAAAACGGCCCACGCCATCTATTAAAAGACGTGCGACGTGCAATGCGCTTTGTTTGCATTGTGAACGGAAAGATTAATATTAAGTTTCATGCAAGCCATTGTTCCTCTTTATCCTCTCCCTTTAACAACCAATAAATCAAAGGTGGGGGAGGCGTTATTCAGTTTTTTCAAAGAGTGAGCCTACTTTAAAATACCGTTCAGACGAATCAGTGGGACAATGCTCTGGGTCAAAATTGTTGTTGCCCGATTAAGATCAATCTAAATAAAACCTGTGTTGCAGACCAACTTGTATCCCCAACTGCGTTTTTCAGCACGCATTCATAACCCAATCAAACAGCCCATCTCCCCCGAAATGGGGATCACAACACCCTATTGTGCACGCTATTATTGGCGACTTTGCGCCTCATTATACGTATTATGCGTGCCTTTTATTGTAAATAAACATCGCTGTCAAAGCCAGTGAAGCAGACAAAAAATAACGAATTGGATTTCACCTGCGGCTTTAGCTTTACAAACAAAATGAAACAGGCTTCAAAAGGGGAGACCTCACAAAAATAATGTGTGGACACATACATAAGAACAATGTCAGACTCGTAATTTTAGGTGACCGATTCAGCGACTTACGGCGCGCGCACAATAGACGCAGATCGCTTGTGCTCACTTCCAATGTATGAATACATTAATAAGATTCTTCTTCTAACTGTGATACTAACTTTTTTAAAAAAATGAAAGATGAGATAAAAGTTAAAATCTCTACTAAACAAACTTGCAGATTAACAGACGTTACTCTCTCTAACACTTTCTGTTTGCAAGGTGCGTACTTTATTACTGGTATTAAATACAGTATGTCCTCAGATTTAAACTAGATATTGCATGCTGCAACTGTAACAAGTTCAAATTTCAATTATATGCCATATTATATATTATGCGCATACATAGGCTAATTAGAGTAATTTCGACATTTTTTGACGCATTACTTATTATGCTGCATCATTCGCGACACAATATTATACTTCTCTATGCATTAACACGCAGCTGAGCCTTTCCATTGTAAGGTTAGTCATTATACGCTCTATTGTCCCTGTGTCCCGAAGTCGTTTTTATCATTCCGGAGATAAAGCATGCGGAGCCGGCCCACTTTATTGCCTGCACCCCCTTCCCTTCGCCTTAATGCTTTTCCTTGCAGGTGTGAGCCACGCGCCCGCACTCAGCGGCGGATCCGCGCTCGAGCCCATTGGCTGATGGCTCGCGTCCAGCCAGCGCGTGGGCCCTAAACGCGCCGTCATTCCAACAAGTGATTAATGGGGGAAATTACTCATTCCTTTATATAGTCTCCAATATCCCCGGGAGTCCGCACATAACAGAGGCAGAAAAAAGGAGGGCTACCCCTTTATGTTGCGTCTGATGATATGTATTTTAATACCCTTTCTCTTCACGTCGAGAAAAAAAAGCTGGTGTTAAAAGATGTGATGTTTCAATTGCAGTCCATTGATAGCCATGCGCCGCACACCATGGCTATATATGTGTAGAGTTTACACTAGTATCCTAAATAAACGGACGCTGTGCTTAGTCCCGCTTTTCTTTCTATAAACGAGAGGAATATGCTGATATTTCAGCTTCCTTGCGGGGAACCTACCATCTACTTTAAAAATCATCTAAAAACGCGATTGTGGGTCCCGTTTCATCTTGCCTGTTTATCACCCCCTTTTTAACTGAAAAGTTGTTTTCTGTTCAAGTTATAGAGTACTAACTCTGGCATGTTACCTGTTACGTGTCCATGATCAGGACCGATTTTTAAATTCTGTAACCCCAAAGATCTATGAACTTTATGATTTATCCACTTAAAGTAGGGTTCATTTCAGGAGTCCACTTTAATACATTTGCAGCTGTACATTTAATAATGTAACAATGTGAACTATTCTTTGTCATTAAGTGTCAACTGATGATGGTCAGACAATGTCGATGCTCTGTAATCCGTGTAAATCGGAGATGTATTTGGGGTGTCCAGGGTATGTTACCATAGGAACCCGAAGGCATGGCTGGACAGGGGGAACTGGACGTGTATGGAGGTGCAATCGTGGGGCCACACCTGTGCCCGTCTGGTAAGTCCTGCTGTAAGCCAGTTTGGTGGGGAGGCAGTGACCTAGACAGCATGCAAGCCCTCCGTCGCAGTGACTGTATGCAGGATGAGGGCAGCTGTAAGAATGAGCCTTCCCTCAGTCTGTCATGCATTTCTTTAACTGTGACTCCCACTGCTGTGTGTGGTAAGCGTACACCATTTAAATAACCTTGCAGTCCTCAAAGGCTGAAGCTTTTTTTAAATTAGGAGATTCATCCATCTATCTTCATTCGATTTCTCCTAATGAGAGTCGCCACTCAGAGCGCTGGCGTGCGGCGCAGACAGTTCCTGTGCTGTGTCTGCGACCTGAAGGTCACTAGCTCAAATCCTGAGGTCGGTCAAGCAATACCACACTTGGACCAGTCAGCAAGGCCCTTTCAATTGTCTGGCACTGGTTTCTCAAAATGTGTATCAGTTTGTATAGAAGCACCTCCCAAAGCTAACACATATTTCTAAGATAATGATATTTATAAGTAAGAAATGGAACCTGTATTGTTTCACTCTTTATTTATTTCTGAGCTGTGCTTTATGGAATTCAGTATTTGCCAAGGACACTGGGTGATGAATATCTGTCAGCTACCACTCCAGAGTATTACTTATCAGACAGAAGCACCAGTCTACTGAGCTAAGGGTCTGTCCACAGGAGAGGAAGGCAATAAAACTTGAATCCGATAGCAGGGACCACTGCTGGAGAACAAACTGCATTGTGGGTGATTATAGTAGATTTTGAAAGTGATGAGACTGTAGTGCAGCAATTTCCCAGAGTTCCAAGCGTGGCCCACACCAGCCCCAGCAGAAACTGACCCGCTCTGCACTATCCTCCGGCGCCATCCATCTCATGCCCTCCCAGAACAAGCGGGCCCCTGACGTGTCATGGCGGGGCAAATGGGTCGGGTCGATTTATTACGGGTGCGAGCTGACAGAGGAGGCAGGGAGGCCTTGGGAGTCTGCGACAGGGCTGTTAATTTTTAAACAGCCACTAAAAAAATTGAGGGAAACACTTTGGCCGACAGACAAATTTATAATGTGCCGATGCCCCCAGGGATGTCAGCAAACACAGGGTGGCGGGGCAGCCACATAGTGATGATGATGAAGCGAGGCCCAGGGAAGGACATCCGAAGATGTGGGGTCCAATCAGAGTCCTCTGCCTGGCGGGTGCCCCTCCCTCTCCCTGTTGATTGACCCCCAATCCCTCACGGTCAAGGCTCAGTTTGAACCTGGTCCCCAGATAAGCGGCTGGTGAAATTCACCCCGACTGAGGCAGAGGGGGGCTCGTCCGGGGCCGACGCCGTCCCACCGGACCAGAATCGGCATCCAGGCTTGGCGGCCGCTCAGGTCCGGCTGTGGAGACATGGCTCCTGGATCACGCCACAGGACCACTTCTGAGGAACCTCTTATGATGCCATTCTCCTCCGCCTCAGGCCCGGGATTCATTCGGTCTTTCCCCCTCGCGCAAGTTAATTTCAGGAGGCCGCTCTAGCAAATTAGAGCACCCTCGTCGCCACCATGTCCTGGAAGCCCCCACTGCACCAGGCCTTCAGGATTTATGTCTGGCATGCTCTCATACAAAAAAAGTTAGTCTTTAGACTCCTGTTTTTTTCTGTCTTTGAGGCCCAGGGATGGGGGGGGAGCGTAATCCCTCTCTGCTTGAAGAAGCTGAATGCTCTGAGCCCGACAGTTCTGACTGCCACTTCAGTTCCCCGCTGAATGGGCCCTGAACTTCAGATGCTCGAGCAGGGCTTCTCGCAGCACTCCTCTGGGGCATGGTCATTTGCATGAGCTATTGTGGACGCCCAACTTGGACGCTTCGCGGGACCCTTTCGCCATTTACTTCCACTCTGGCTGGCTGTTGCGCGCTGTGAATAGGCCCCTGCTCCGGGCCTCACAAAGACGCTTTTGTGGGCCGGCCACACCGTATTCATCATGTAATGCCTGTAAGACAAATCTGATTGGACGTCCCTGGCACTTTGATGTCAGTCCAGAGCGCAAGTGGCCCGGTGATGGCTAACTCCGGTCCCCGTCGGCCATTCTGAGCGCAGGCTTCTCATTATGTGACGGAGCAAATTCATAATAAATTCTCCCGTTGTACAAAAAAAAGAAGAAGAAGAAGAAAAAAAAACGGGTGGAGATGATTGACACTCCTTTACAGCAGGCCAAACAAAGCCCTGATTTGTGCCGAATAATGGATGGATAAGCAGATCGTGGACTTAATTCAAACAATTTTAATCTCCCCCTTTACCCTCCTTCTCCTCTGAGTGTCTGTCTCCCTCTCTCTCCCTCTCTCACTTTCCTTTCACCCCCTATTCTCCCAGACCTTTAGACAGCGCGTTCTCAATTTACAGGGTAATTCTATGCCAGGCGAACAGCTAATTGTCCTCTGCTAAACTGCAGGCCACTGCGCTTCTGTGACACTGAGCTTATATCAGCCTAATGATCAGAATAATTGTTCCGAGGCTTAATTTGGTTGAAGGGGGGCGCAGACTGAAGAGGTGAGACCGGAGGCCGGTACTGAGGATGCTCTATTGTTGTGGT